AACCTATATAATGAATTAGAAATATTGAACTCAAATTCAAAGATCAAACAGCCATTTTAAAAAAAAAATTGATAGTATATTTTAAACATGAATTTCTTCCTTATGTCCAATGTACGAATATAATCAGCAAGTCTTGCTTATTGCACATTTACTATTGTATTTAGCTAGAAAATACAAACTTACATAATTTTCAAGATGCAAGCACAATTTTTTCAGAAACTCAAATGATGAACTATGATTGTGCTCATGGGTTCAATTTAAACTACTAAAATTTCAATATAAGAAGCATAGCATCAACCTTCAAAGTAATAATCCCTCATATCAACATGGATTACTGCAATTTCTGAGCAACAAGTATTACAGTAACATTAATAGTAGTTAAAAATTTCAAAGATCTGACCTTTTACGTCCTAAAATGAAAAAATATGCACAGTGATAATTTACGGCAACGGAAAATATCATAACCCAACAAATTCAACCAACTGATCCATTATAATCGCCAAAAAAAACCACATTTCCGTGCTAATAATTGCTGTAAAATAAACTAATAATCAGAAATTTTTAATTTGTAATTTTTACCTTGATTTCCAAAGTAATAACACCACAGAATATGAGATTAACAATAATCGAGCAACGACTACTAGATCGGAAGTGAAAGCACCCTAATGCCACTAGGAAAGAACCCTAGAGGGGGTGAATAAGGTTTATGCTAATCTAATCTGATTTATACCAAATTAAAACTAATTAACAATATATCCTAGCAAGAATGATATTCAACAAGATATGAGCAAAGATATATAAACTAACACAAGGGTAAAATAAACAATAATCAAACAAGAGTGATAGTACACAAATAAACAATGCAAACACACAATATGATCACGGAGTTCGGACCTTCCATCATACGTCTCCACTCTCCACTCCCGGGGAGAAATCCACTATCACACTGGGTTTTCAAGGATCACCCGAAAACGTTTACACCACACAATATCGATTTTTAACGCTCACCGATCAACGTTCACAATCACTCACAATGTAACTACACTAACTATCACCTCAAGTGTTGGTCTCTAGCATGTGTCTCCCTCAAGTGTTAGGAATTATAACCTCTCTCTAAGCATTACCACCTACCCCACTCCTCTTGGGACGACCCCGTCTCTCACCACACACTCCTCTTGGTGCACTAGTATATTACAAAGTGAACCTCATAATTATAGCTCAATACAACAATCAGTTTTCTAGTTCACCAAAAACTTTACAACTTACATACTTGCAATTACACTTCACACCCTCTAAGTGTTGGCCTAGCCCGTGTCACCTTTCTCAAGTACTCGGAATTATCACCTCTCTCTAGGCTTTACTACCGCCCCACTCCTCTTGAAACTGACCCCGTCTCTCACCAACCACTTCTCTCGGTGTCCAAGTGTAATACAATGTGCAACTCACAATTAAGTTCACAAATATAAATTTGTTCTCTACAATAGATGAGAACACAATGTAGGCTCACACTTAATGTCACACAAACCCCACAACCCAAATTATATAATGTATGAAAATACAATAAGCTCAATGGTTGTGTGTGTAAATAATGAGTAAATAAAATCAACTAAACTCAATATAAATACTAGCTTAATAAAATAATAATCAAACAATATAAATTAAATAAAATCAACTAAACTCAATATAAATACTAGCTTAATAAAATAATAATCAAACAATATAAATGTAAAGCTAGATTGAGTTCTAGCTTAATAAAATAATAATCAAACAATATAAATGTAAAGCTAGATTGAGTTTAGGAAAACTTCTCTATGATAACAAGAGAGACGGAGAAGAGTTGAATGCTCAAACACCAATGGATGATCTTCTCAAGCTATTGTGAAAGTTTCTTCACAAACCAAACTTTTAAACACACTTAAACAAAAACTTAAACCCTTAAACAAACTTGTAAACTCTTTTAAAACTTTTATCTTCTTAAATTGAATTAAGGATATGTAGGGGTATTTATAGGAAACCCCAAAGCTAAGAGAAAACAACAAAACCCAGCAAAAAGATAAAAACAGAAAAGCTAGAAAAAACTAGCCGTTGGGCCGCCAGTCGACTGATACTGTTCATCAGTCAACTGATGAACTGACCGTTACAGGCCAGACAAATCATCAGCCGACTGATAAACTCGTCAGTCGACCAATGACTTCATCAATCGACTGATTAGTTGACTGAAACAAAATAGAAACTTTTTAACATTCCAGGTGATTTTTCAGTCGACACATCAGTCGATTGATGTTATCAGTCGACTTACCAGTCGACTGATAACAAGTTATCAGCCTGTTTTGAAACAGAAATCTGATTTTTAAACCTCTTTTAAAAATAGCAAACAAAATCAAAAAAATGTAAAACTTTGGGAAATGATTGTAAACATGATAATATACATGTTATATAAATTGGTTTTCAAAAAGCAGTTCCTATTTGAGAAATCTCTTCATTTTACAAAATGGTTCAAAACATGAAAATGAAACATACTTGTTTTGTCATTTTAACTAAACCATATTTTGAAAACTTTATAAACTGATTTTATAGACTTGATAAAAGATACAAACTATTGTTGTTAAGTCTATAAACTAAAAACTCAATATTATGCAAAAATAAAGTTTTGCACAATATGTATTTAACAAAATGATAAATATGAAACATATATATATATATGTAAACAATAATATAGGTTTCATATTTATATAAACTTGTAAACTATAAAACCAAAACTTGTGTATATATACATAACTATATATATATATATATATAGAAACCAATAAAATGTGTGTGTATATGATATTGAGCTTAAAGTATCTAACACACATAATATAAACCCTAAACTAATTATACCCAATCTTGTGATCTTCAACGAAGCTTTATCTTGGTACACTTGCGGATGAAGCTTGAACTTGGATCTTCAACTTGAATTGTAAGGCTTCATTCCACTATTCCGCCAACCTCCATTTGATATAATCGTTGAGGCTTGATTCCATCCATCCTCCAACATATTATTTACCTAGAATAAATACAAAACACAAATACTAGATAAACAACATTAGTTATAAATTGTTTGTTAATCATCATCAAAACAAAATGACCCAACAAGAAGGACCAGCAAAGCTTAGATCTAAATTTTATTGATTTTGGACGTAAAAACACCGCGATCGAGCAACGCATTTTAGATCTGAAGGACTAGCAAAGCTCAGATCTAAAATATCTTGAGAGATTACAGCTCAGATCTAAAATCGGATCTCACAAAACCAACGTCGAAAAAGCTCAGATCTAATAGAGCTTTTCGTCGACAGAGGCGTGAAAATAAGAAGCTTGACGAGTGAGGTGGGAATGAAAATGAGGGGAGGCAACAATAGAGGGGAGGTGGTGGTTTTAGGCCTCGCCAAATTTCTTTGATTTCCCCAACAAAGTTCCCCCTAAATTTTACCCAAGCTGATTTCAGAGCTTCTGCAGAGGAAATGAGAGGAGGAAAAAAAAATCTAAGGTGGCGTATGATTTCAACACTCAATTTCTTTGAACCTCTTCCCAACCAAACTGCCCAAAAATAAAATGGGCCAACTCCAAACTGATGTGGCATAGGCCCAAATTTCTACTTTGGCCAATTTCACCCTCTCATAAGGCGAAACAAACAGGCACTAAAGGGTTGGGTTTTAAAACAAATGAAGTAAACCTTGGATGTACATGAATAAGCGACTAATATGGGAAACTAATAGCAACTAATTTTAAAATATGAAAGATTTAAGGGACTAATAGTCAAAATATACCTTTTTTGATAAATAGGTGGGTTTTAAAATAAAGTTTTAAAAAGATTTAAGGGACTAATAGCCAAAATAAACCTTTTTTAAATAAATAGGTGGGTTTTAAAAAAAGAAGGTTTAATCCTCTGAGGAGATTCTTCGAACTCGTAAGTCGTAACCTGCAACCGTAAAAGGGAATACTATAACTATTGTGGTACTTCATCTTTTTCACTTCCATCCGAAATTTTATTTTATAACATCATGTTTTAATGGTCATTGCTACAGTACCATCCCCAAATTTTTTGCTGAGTTATCGCTTTCTCCATCATTTCTTTTGCCGGGCAACTTTCTCTTCTTTCAAATCCTAAAAAACTGCAACTTCCATCATGATCCGGATCTCTTTAGCATGTCAAACCATATTATTTTTATTCAAATTCAGCTACTATTGGTTGGTTAAATCTAGATGTTTAACATTGTAACAAATAAGAAATTAATGGTTGTTTAACATGTAACAAATAGATTGTTTAATGTTAGATAGGAAATGTTATCTATGGATCGTACCCTACTTGGCTACTTGGCATTGAGTAGCAAGGGCTTGGCATGCCACCAAACCTTCAATGCTCTAGGAAGAAAAAGAGGATGCCATGTTTCGCGGAAGAAGAGCAAGCCCTAATGATTATGTTTTGAGGGGCATTTGACAGGAATTGTCACTAATGTAATTAATATATGTATATATATGTATATATTTCATAACCAGTGACAAAAAGAGGAGGATTTGTCATAACGAGTACTCTGTAAACTGACTGTACAAGTACGCAAAATTAGTTATAGAATTATTAAAGCCAACTTAAATACATCTTTAACCTTTTTCAACCCTTCCCAAAAAAGGTCAAAGATAAAAGAGGTTAAAGAAAGCCCAGTCTCCCAGCACAGCACAGCAGGCTCCAGAGACAACTCCAACCCACCCCACCCCCAGTACTCACTTTTTCACAGCCCTGCACTTTCACAAGCAAAGATAAATAAATGCAAGCATATCACAAGGACGAGGTACCCCATGTGCCCTCCCCTTTTCTCTCTCAACAGCCAACACCCCCTTATCCCCTCGCACCAACTTCACTAATAATGACAGAAGAAGCTCAGTGGGCCTCAGAACGTCCTTTTTTTTTTCAAACTACCGCACTCCGCACCGGTACCAATAATTGCAAAGCACGAAAGCAAAGGTGATCAAGGAAAAAGTGACACAACATGATTAAAGTGAACATAACAACAACAATTAATTAACATAAAGAAAGAAACCAATCACACACTACTAATCTACAACACCCTAGAAAGTACACGGGCATCGCATAATTCACAAAGTAAAAAAAGGAGTCACAACACAACACTACATATCGATCACAAACACGCTCGCTCCCCGGTCGTCTGTCTCTCAGTTGCTCGGGTTGCTTCTGAAGGAGCCAAGGGCTTTAATGGCTGCAGCCCGTAAAATGTACTGGTGGTATGCAGCAGCTGCAAGTGCTCCCACAAACGGACCTACCCAAAATATCCACTGCAATAAAATGAAACATTTAATCATGTTAAAAAAAAGTTGGCTAAAATTTTAATCGTATACGTTTTGCTTGGAACCATCTTTAATTACATGATCATGCCAAGCCTTGCGCTCATTGTAGATGACCGCAGCTCCAAAGCTCCTTGCTGGGTTGATTCCGGTTCCGGTGATAGGGATGGTGGCCAGATGTACCATGAACACCGCAAACCCAATTGGCAGAGGAGCCAGAACCTACACAACAACAAAAGCACCAAATTAGTAGTTAAAACTCGATTTTTTTTTCAAAATTTAATCATATATAATTGTCCATCGATCGCCTGTTCTCACTCTTTAAATTTTAAATTTAAAAAAGTCAGTAGGGAGGGAATGAAATAAATCAGAAGATACGACAGGCCGTCAACGTTTTGCAGGAATCACGCACTGGACTAAGAAGTGGATTACACGTGTCAAAACTTATCCTTTCCACAAGCATAATAAGGTGCGAAAATGGGAGAGGTTATCTGCATTAAGGGGCTGTTTGGTTCATTTCCAAAAAATTATGGAAATGGTTTCCCACATAAGAAATCAATTCTGTAAAAATTTTAGGATATCAAAGGAATCCAAATCTTTTGTTTGATATGGAAGGATAAAATAAATAATAGGAAATGGTATCCAAAACTGAAGTTTGTTTCACCCCTAAAAAATCGGAAAAGCACGTGCAAAGAAAGCTGAGAAGCTGAGCTGGCACCCTCATTTCCAAAAAATTGCCCATTTCCGAGCTTTTAGACAGGAATTGGCCGTTCCAAAAAAAGACACTATTTGACAAGGTTTTAGGAAACCATTTCTTAAAAAAAAAAATGAAATAAACGCAGTTTTTGGATTTCTAAAACCACAAAAATGTTACTTTTTGTTCCAAAAACCGGGTTTTCCAAAAAAACACCCTCAAACAAACAGCCCCTAAGTTGCCCTATATATTTAAAAAAGCAGTGGCCGTCTGGTTTAAATTAAATTTTATACAAGGAATTGAATTCTTTTATTAACAGTGAAGGGACTGCCACATTTAACTACGAGCGTCTAAATGTTCAGTTTGATATGCACCGGCACCATCCATTTGAAAGCTATGCAACCCAAACCAGTAGACTCTTTCCGCTACCACAGTATGTATGCTAGAGTGTTGCAATCTACTTTACGGGCTACACCCTGTAATTTATATTTTTTTTTTAAAGGAGGAGGAAAAAAAAAATAGGAGAAGAAAGACTTACCGGCACGTGAGAGTCACGCGCGCTGCGCTTGGGGTCAGTGGCAGAGAAAACGGTGTAAACGAGGACAAAGGTGCCAATAATCTCAGCACCGAGAGCGGTGCCCTTGGAGTATCCAGGCGCGACCTCGTTGGCCCCCCCACCGAGGGAATCGTAGTAGCGCTTCATGAAGGCCTTGACGAGCCCAACACCGCAGATGGCCCCCAAGCACTGAGCGACCATGTAGCCCACCGCTCGGATTAGGGACACTTTCCTGGCTAGGAATAGCCCGAAGGTGACCGCGGGGTTAATGTGGCCACCTGCGCACAAAACACGAGAATTTTATCATCTACGTATCAAGTGCCGGCCGCGGCCTTCATTAAAGAAAGCCAGGTTTTGGATATATACACACACACACCAGATTTTTGGACTTCGGAATGAAAATTTAATTTCGACGTGCATATGTATATCTCGTGGTCAAATAATTAAGGTTTACAGCTACTCCGTTTAAAAACCAACAAATTTTTTCAACTTATATTTAAATATCATCCTTAAAATTATATTTTAACCGCATAAAAGTTTAAATTCGCTACGGCGGGTTAATAATTTGACGCGGCCAGCGATTCAGCTACCTTCACACCGCAAGGAACAAATATTTATACGTACATGAACGCTAGCTACATAATTTTATTAGTACGTGTATGAGGACTGTGGGATGCTCAGTGATATGCATTCATATCGCACACTTATCAAGAGTAAGCTGAAAAAATTAGAACAAGGAAATTAGGGGGCCGGCCGGTGCACCTGAGATACCGGCGGTGCAGTAAACGAGAACGAAGATCATGCCGCCAAAAGACCAAGCAATTCCGAGGACCCCGACTCCGTCGCACGCGTCAG